CTAGTAGTAGTACACACACTTGAACAGTAGCAGATAGTACACTTCCTATAAATAATAGCTTGTAAACCAGGTAAAGGATCTTTTGGCCCTCAAAAGATTCGGCTAAAAGTTTATACCGAACTGGCTATCAAGTTCGGCATTCTAATATACATATAAAAACAGAAAAACCTTGATAGATCCTAGCATCTACTCACCGGCATTGGTTGCTGCGAAAATTGTTGGCAACACTAGTCAAACCGAGTTTAAACATTTCAAACTTGCCACTCGGGCTCACATTTCTGTTTGTTTATTAAACGAGTTGAGTCAACTCGTTTATTAAATGTACGCAAGTTTAAACATGAAGTATTTGACTCAAATAATCTAGCTAGTCACATATATAAAAAATGAAAGTATGAAAATATTTCTGAAGTATTAATATAAATTACACATTAAATAATATTAAAATATGAATGTGGAATTTTTAAAATAAAAAATAATTATATGGACCTCCTAAAAATACTTGTTATTTATTAACTATTCTTTTATACATATGACAAATCATAAATTTTAATAAAATAATTATATTTTTTAAATGAAAATATTTTTTTCTCATATACTTGATTTTAATTAGAAAAAATATCAAAAGACCACCATGAGACGGTATACTTATCGTTTTACTCTTGTTGTATGACAAATCATTTAAGGTTCATATATCATTTCAATGAATATGCCACATAAATAAATGAGGCTTGCTATTAGTAAATACTTTTTCTATGAAAAATCATAAAAATATATAACTAAATTTTAAAATCAATGAATTCAGTCGCATACTAAATATTCTAATGGAAGTATAACACAAAAATTATTCTCTTGAATAAATTTATCAAATAAATTTTATTTAACTACATAATATAATATAAACACAAAAACTACAAGGGAAACAACATAATGAGCTGAAAGAAAAAGAGAAAAATGACTTAAAACATATTTAAATATATAATTTATTGATTAATTTTAAAATAAATATAGTTTATTTTGGGCTCCAATAATATTAATATGTAGCTAGTTTAATATAACATAGGCTAAAATATTTTTTACTAGTACATATTTAAAATGTAGCATGATGATCTTTCTAGTGCTCTATGTAATATTATCTCAAAACAGAATGCAAATTTAATGCCTTCGCGCGAGTTTGGCAGAGACGAGAGGAGGGAGGAAGGGTTGGTGGTATGTTTGGATTGAAAAATGTAATGTAAACAAACATGCAACACTTACTGAAATTTTGACGTTCGTCGTTAAGCCTTGACCTATTTTTGTTATAATTGCCGACCTGGTTCGTTTTGTAATTCATTTTTCTGTTCATTCGGATAAATGTGGTTAGATAAAGGTTATGAAAATAACAACGCAACATATACTGAAAATAAATTGACTATAAAAGCAACATATATCGAAATTATTCTAATGTCCGTCTTGCACAAGATTTTGATGCTTTGATATGGAATACTATAGCGTGTCGAATGAACCCATTAAACTAGCCAATCGGTTCGAGAAAATTGGTTGGTCAAGTGGAAGTATGGGCAGAACGAACGGAGGTCGATCGGAGCTACATAGCGAAGAGTTCTCAAGTCTAGGAGGACGTTGCAAGTACAAGGGCGCACAAACATTGTTACGTCACTTTGAGTCACGAACTGACTTGGACACCTTACGCCTCAAACGGTCTTTTCCCTTGAGCTCTGATGACTCGCATACGCCTGGAGGGGGTCCTTACGAAAAACTCCCTAACGCTCAAGTCAAAACTTGCTCAAAATGTATATGTAAATGTATATGAAAATGGCATAGAATGTGTGTTGTTGATGAAAAGGAAACTTGTCGTCCTTTTATAGGGCTGATACCGTGGGGCCGAAGAGGGTTCTTGCTAGGTAAGAGATCCAACTAGATCCGACTTCTCTAACTTACCACATCTCTATCTTGTCAAGAGTCTTTGAGTGAGTTCTTCTTTCCTTCTTACTATGATTCTTTCTGCCGTTAGTGTTTTAGCCCATGGGTCCTTAGGCCGTGAATCCGTCCTCCTGACCTATCTGTTGTGGCCTTCCCACGGACGTACCTGGCCTTGTATTGAGGTCTAGCCCTACCTCATCCTAGGTCTAACTTGTCCTCAGACCACCCGACCTCAATAACTTGAGGTCGGTTCCTTTGCTGGGCTCCTGGAGGTCTGTACCTCCAGGTTGTGTCTTTTTTGGTAGCTCGACACCTTAAGCCCATACTCGAGCTACATGACCGAGCATCTTACTTTTGAATCTATGGGAGCTCTCCTAGCCCGATCTAACGAAGCTAACTGCTCAAATCGTTTTATGGAGCTGCTTTTGAGTACTATATTATCTAGCCCCCATTTCAGGACGAGCAAACCAGACTTGTGTTGAAATGGACATTTGTATCCAAAACTTTGTATCTGACCTTTATTCCTTATTTAATGCATCAAAAAACCCTCAGAGAGTGTGAGACGCCAAAAAGATACTTTGTACTTGCTCAGATCCTAGTTTTTGACACGTGCAATGCATACGTGGATGCGTCGTATCGAATACCTGCGAGATTCTTTAATCTTGCATCTTCCAATGGTCAGATTTATTTTACGGGTGGTTACTTCTCCTGGCTTATAAAAAGCCCTCTTTTCACCCTCTTATACCCTACCTTGTTTTTCATACTCAACTCCTATCTGCGAAAAAATCTCTCTTAGTTCTTATATTTCCGGTGATCGTCCTTTGGTTATTCTCCTGGCATCATCCTTCCAACTCTTGGTTCATGGGCACATTCTTAATTTTCTCTAATTTTTTTGTGGTTTCATTACTTTTTTTTATTTTCATCATTGTCGAGCTCCGCTAAAAACTTCTAAGCTTGCTCTCTTTCTCATTTATACGAAAAACCACTTTGCCACCATGTCTTCCGATACTCGACCGCTTCGTCCCAAGAATGTCTACCTGACTGAGTTGGCTGCTCCCCGGGCCTAGGAGCTCGTCAATTCAATCTCGTCTCTTTTTGGACCTCTTATAGGATAGCCTTTCTCCGTCATATCTCTGAACATCAATTCCCTTAGGGCATGTTTGATAGCCTAGATTAGATAGGATTAAGACCCTAATCAAGGCCCAGTCCATCGTTTGCTGTCCAGGATTGCAGCCCGTAAAATTAGACACGACCCGAGATTATATCAATTAAATCTTGGGTATGGGGCATTATTTAATCCCGTGTTGGACATGAGATTATCTGAATCCTAACAGTAGGTATATTGTGAAAAGTCCTTTTTGACCCTGAAATTTTACAATCCGTACTAAAATAGCCTCCATAGACCGAATAATTACAACTTGCCCCAGTATAAAGATCCATCGTCCGCTTCGGCCAAGATTGTCGAGCAAGATCTGTGAGGTGTTGAAGTGCTGAAATCCACCGCTTTCTTCTGCTACTTCCCGGTATGTGTGTTTTGTTTTACGATACCTTTAACACGAACCCATGTCATGTAGTTGTACTTGTTTTTTGCGATATATTTTCTTCTGTGTTCGAGAATAGAGGTTGTTCGTAAAACCCTAATTTCTCAATTTATGGACTGCAGTTTTATTTCGAGCGCTCTGGGTTGGGTGCTTTGTGAGACACGGAGTTTTTGTGATTCCCGTTATTGTCATCCTCGTCCATCACTGGTAATTGAAATTAAGTAACATTTATTTTTCTTCTCCAGTTGCCATTAAATCGTGAGATTAGAGCATTCTGGGTCTAAATGAGTAATGACTTCGGTTTTATTGTAAAATGTTGTGTTTTTGTATATAATTGTTCTATGTGTTTGACCTGCCAAAGTAGCTGTTCGGGCAATGTTGTTAGTATTAGTAAAATTGCAGGTTTTGACTCTTTGTATCTCTCTCTCTCTGTATGTTTCTCTCTCTCTCTGTGTCTCTCTTTTGTGAACTGATAAAAGGTTGAAAGAAAGGTAATTTATTTTATTACTATTAGTTTTTAAAAATTTTTTGTAGTTTTATGGGTTTGTCTTTATTTTATTGATCTCACCTCTTTTTCTAAATTTTTTAAAATTCTTGTAAGGCTTCTGGATGTATAGTGATGAGATGAGATGAAATCTTTAAAGTGGGGCTTTTTTTTTGGGATAATTTGCATCCAAATTACCAAATTCTGTTTGAAATTGAGATTAGAGGACCACATCGATATGTGATTTGATGAAAAATAAAAAATTAGACAACCAAAATATTTAATTACAACTCTAACAAATAGTTTGATTCCTTTTTTATTAATTTATGCTTTTAATAAGACTGGAATAGTATTAAGAAAAGTGTTTTTAGTATTATCCTTCATCTCTTACATGGAGTAAAACATATTTTTCTTTATCTCATCAGCTTAAGCATGGATATAAGTTCTGAAGAGGCCGTAATACTGTTGCTTGTCGAAGAGATAATTAATCTACGTAATTTGTTTTTTATCATTTCCTACCTCTACATTAAGTTGGTTGTTCAACCTAGACAACATCGTAGAGTTAGACGTCGGCTCGGAAATGCATCATATCGTATGTCAGACCGTTTACCCTCTCAAATTGAACACATGAAAGTATTAGTAGAAATAAGTGACAGGACATGCATTGAACAACTTCACATGGATCGAAATAGCTTTGCCCGGTTATGCTTTTTGTTAGAACATATTGGTGGGCTCCAGAACACCAGAAATATACAAATAACTGAGCAAGTAGCAATGTTTCTTAGTGTCCTAGCTCACCATAAAAAAATCGTGTAGTGAAATTTGATTTTAAAAGATCTGGTCAAACAATTAGCAAATTCTTCCACAATGTACTACGTGCTGTCCTTCGTTTGCACCCCATCCTCCTTGCCCAAAGTACCGCTGTACCCGAGTCATGCACTGATTGGCGATGGAGATGGTTTAAGGTGAGGACGACAATGCTAACAATTTTATGGTACCAATATTATATTAACATAACTAAAGTTTACAATTTGTTCTTCTTCTGTATTAAATCACAGGGATGTTTAGGAGCCTTAGATGGAACCTATATTCCGGTGCGTGTCCCTGGACGCCTACCCCCACGATATCGAAATAGAAAAAGTTCTATTTTTGTGAATGTGCTTGGTGTGTGCACGCAAGAAATGAATTTTTCGTACGTATTGACTGGTTGGGAAGGTTCTGCGGCTGACAGTAGGATTTTACGAGACGCTGTTCACCGACGAGGGGGCCTTCCTGTACCATCTGGTTAGTGTTACATAAAGTAATGTAAATATATATAGAATTTTTGCTTCTTTTGCAAGATTGTTGTTAAGAACAATTACTGAAACTAATATTTATTTAATTTCATTTTCACTATCTGACATATAGTTCCCATATACACACAACAGGGAACTATTACCTCTGCGATGATGGCTACACAAATGGTCCGGGTTTCTTGGCTCCGTATAGGGGTGTGCGGTATCATTTGGATGAGTTTGGTGAAGGTAACCGAGTGCCTACAAACCATAAAGAATTGTTTAACTTAAGACATGCCAGAGCGCGAAATATAATTGAGCGAGCTTTTGGAGTATTGAAGATGCGTTGGGCTGTCCTTAGGAGCAAGACTTATTTCGACATACGCACTCAAAATAAAATTATTCTTGCCTGTTGTCTCCTTCAAAACTTCATCCGGGCTACCATGCATTTAGACCCAATGGAAAATGAGGGTGATAATATGATGAATCGGCAGAGAAACTCCGAAGCCCATGACCCCTTTGACTATGTAGACGTTGTTGAGCCAACGACCGAATGGACAAATATGCGGGATGCTTTGGCTATTTCAATGTTTAATGAATGGGATGGGCGAAGTTGAAGTGAAGCTAGCAATGTTCAAAATTGGAACTCATCTTTTTTTAATTGTACTTTTTAAAAAAAATATGACATTGATGTTTAAAGAAATGTGATGTGAAACCTCCAGTTTGAAATGTGTGATTTGCATTTATTCTCATTTTTTATACTTCTTTGTGTGCTTTAACATAATAGACAGTCCTATTTTTTAAATCTTGCCTTATGTTGCTGATTTGTTGATTATACTTTATTATTGTGCATGTCTTTGATTATTAGTTACTCATGGAATCCATTGCTAGCGGGGGACGCAATTCACAGGCCGCCGGACAATGTCGAGTTTGGAATGAAGATGAGGACCGTGCTTTGATTGTAGGTTTGCGCGATCTTGTTGCCCGCGGCTGGAAATGCGACAATGGATTTCGCAATGGTTACGCCATCATATTAGAACAGCACATGCACCACATGTTCCCGGGAACTACCATAATAGCGGAACCTCACATAACATCTAAGATTTCGGTCTGGAAAAAAAATTATGGTTTGCTTTCGGAGATGCTTGCTACTTCCGGCTTTGGATGGAGTGAAACAGGGAATATGATTACTGTGCGGGAAGAGGATGTTTGGAAAGACTACATCAAGGTTTGATTTACATATTTTATTTCGTGATTTGCATTAGTAATAGTAAGTTCAAATAAGCATTTATATTGTTTTATTTCTTTTCATTTTTTAGGCTCATCCAAAGGTCAAATCAATGCGTTACAAACCATGGCCCCTTTTTCCGGATTGGATGGAAATTTTTGGAAAGGACCGCGCAACGGGAGAGGGGGCAGTAGGTTTCACTGATGCGGTTAATGATGTCTTACATGATACGAATGTCGAAGTACCGAGCCCAAATCCCACTCAACACACAGGGCCGGAACATTTTGATTATCCTCAAAATAACTTTGACTCTTTTTCGACTCAAGCAGGTGAAAGTAGTGCATCTGGTAAGTCTAAGCGTTATGGAAAAAAAAAAGCGTAATGTTGAGGTGGAATACAAAATAATCGGGCTACTGTCCTCCGTTTGCCAGGAGACGAACAATCGTCTTTCAGAACTTTCCACACGTGTCGGTCAACAGGTTGATGCAAAAGCGCAACGAATTGCTGTTTACGATGCACTAAAAAAAATTCCTAACTTAACAACGGATGAAAGGGTCATTGTTGCTCGGTACTTATCCAAAAATGTTGACGAGATGGAACTGTTTTTCAGCCTTGACGATGATGGAAGGAGCTCAATGGTGTACCAGATTTTGAGCGGGTCATCGTAGTAACAAAACCCACACGAATTTGTGTATATCATCGTCAACCTCCCTTTTGTCTTTTTGTAATGTGAACTTCATCACTGTTGTAACACCCCGCTTATCAGAGTCAATTTTTCGCAACTTCTTATTTTGAAAGTACTTATAAATTTTTCGAAATCTTCTTAACTTAGCTCGGGATGCTACTAAAACTTATCTTCTTTAAAATCTGTCTTCTCAAAACTTGGTCTAACAACTTATTAGATATAATAAAACAGATTTCTAATTATTGAACATGTATGAAAACTGAACCAAATAAATCTTGTAAATTTTAAAATACTATCACACATGTTCAATATCTGAAAGACGTAGCGGAAATCTTACAAGCATGGTATAATACAAACCGAAACCTTATTAAAAGTCCACAATTTAACAAATGAACCAAATCCTCGATCCACACCACCATAGCTGATCTCACACTACTGCACTGACTCTGTTACCTGAAATGATAATAGTGGGGCGTGAGTACTAATCTACTGTACTCCGTAAAAACCCATACTAAAGTAAACAGTAATTATAATATCAATATCATGATCTTTGGTATATATCTGAGCTTAATCTCCCGGTATCTGACCGGTAACATTAACTTGAACTTTGCAACTACCGGTAACTTGGGCCGGTTCTCACGTGATCACATTCTGGGGGTCGCCTCCCACAGAACCCAGTCTTGACTGGGCGAGCTTAATACTTTACTTAACTTTATACATGCCTCTAACATGATAATAGCTATTATACTCAATGTAATACCCAGTCTGGGTCCCCACCTTTATTTCTTGAAAACTTTTGAAAACTGTAAGTGTTGTACTGGTAGCTGTATCTGCAACTACATAAAAATATAAACAAATTTACTAAGTACTATGCTCATAATATTCTTAATAGGATGTTGAGATTCTTAACTTTAACTGATAACTTATCTGAATCTTAAAGATAATTTCGGCTAGCTCAAATGAACATTAGTTCATTGAACATATTAAATTCTTAAACTTTTACTTAATACCGAACTTAAACCATATGAATCATGATTTTGAAACTTAGATGTTGGTATAAACTCATATACCATTTAAATAACTTTAAAGTGAAAATAACTAAATTCCACATACATAAATTCATGATTCAAACCTCATCTTAAACTTACTTAGTAATAAGAAAATGGTAACTTAAAACTCATCAAAACCATATTATGATATCAATATACTATACTTGAAATAATTCATAGAATTGTCTTCTTAACACATTCAACTAAAAGTCAATCAAATACTCATATAACTCATGTCTTTAAAATCTATGACATTAACTTATTCTTATATAACTTATAAGTGAAAAATATAACTCAACATACTCAACTTATACCAACATCAAATACATGATTTATAAACTATTAAACTTGTCTTAAACTTACTTGGCAATGAAAAGTATAACTTAATTCTCATACCATCATAACATCAAATCATAACACTTAATTCATGATATTAATAAGCAAAACTTAAAACAATTTATATAAAATTGTATTCTCAACATATTAAACTAAAACTTGATCACTTTACTCATAATCAATAATATGATAATTCCATATCAATTATTCTTAAAAACTTGACATAAAATAAATACTATAACATATCATATATGCTATCTAAATTTACAACTGATCATTATAAAATTCACTTTACATACTAACATAAATTCTTTATTTCAAGCTAGAACATGCCAAATATCTCAATTCTTGTTCTTATATACTCATTATTTATACAAGAATTACTCATTTCTACTATAAGAATTTACATTTTAACATGTAATGAAGGTTATAACATCACATATTAACTTAACATGTAAATTCTATTCATTCTCAACTTAAACTCAATCCAATAGCATGCTTAATCTATATCTCAACTTAAAACAACTTAATTCTTATTCTCATGCATATTATTACACATAACTTAAACTCATTGAATTCATAAACTCCATTATAATCTCAACTTTATATTCATCAACATATATGCTCATAACTATTTAACTGGCATAATTTCAAAATTGGTCCTACAATTTGACCACTTTCTAAAAAACCACCTCGATATTGGCCACATTCGAACTTGGTCCTATAATTTAACTTTTTAATCAAATTTGGTCCTTTTTTAATCAATTTTGGTCCTTTTTTAATCACATTTTAATCCATGTTCCGGATAAAAAGGACTAAATTTGATTAAAATGTCAAATTATATGACCAAGTTTGAAAGTGGTCAATATCGGGGTGGTTTTTTGGAAAGTGGCCAAATTGTAGGACCAATTTTGAATTTATGCCCTATTTAACTCATATAAAACATGAAGTTAAGATAAGTAATTACCTCCTTCTTGAGAACTTGAAAACATGCTAGAACTTGAACTTGAAAACTTTGATTCTTCACTTCAAAATTACCTCACTTTACTATAATTTCTACTACTTAAGAACTTATATAACTTTGAAATATTGCTTTGGTGTAAAAATTCAAATTTTTGAGCCTCTATTTATAGGCAAAAACTTGAAATAAATAATAGTGAAGTGAAGAAATTAACAAATTAAACAATTTAAACTTATAGAAATTAATCAACATAAATATATCCTTACCTAACTTGAAATTATCAGCCATACTTATTTTATTGCCCAAAATGAACTATGGTTGGCACCAAAATCAATTTCTTTAAAATCTGAAATTTTTGTCGGTCACACGACCAGTGTGACTTGTCACACGACCAGTGTGACTACACACGACCAGTGTGACATATGTCACACGACTCGTGTGACATCACACGACCAGTGTGACTTATGTCACACGACCCGTGTGAAAAAGCCGAGGCTAAACTTACTGTCGGTGCTGATACACACGACCGTGTGACTTGCCACACGACCCGTGTGACTTCACACGACCAGTGTGACTTATCACACGACCCGTGTGACTTGAAAAACTTAAAATTTTGAACTTTTTAACTTCAAAATAGCTCAATCTTGGAATTTAAACTAATACTTTATTAATAACTGAAAGGGATATTACAATACTGAACAGCCCAGTCAACCCGTAGTAAGATATTGTCCGCTTTGGGTATACAACAGATCATTCCCTCACGTTCTTTCCTTTGGGAGCTAGCTCACCAAAAGCAAAACCGTGAGGGAATGATCTGGTGTATACACAAAGCGGACAATATCTTACTACAGGTTGACTGGCTGTTACAGTGGTATCAGAGCCAGTACCCGGATCGATGTGCCAGCGAGGACGCTGGGCCCTCCAAGGGAGTGGATCAGATATCCCACATCGGTTGTGAAGGCGAACGAAGCATTCCTTACAAGTGGTTGTGGATACCTTCACTAGTAGGACGCGTTTAGGTGAGCTAGCTCCCAAAGGCAAAACCGTGAGGGAATGATCTGGTGTATACCCAAAGCGGACAATATCTTACTTCTTCTTGACTGGGCTGTTACAACTGTTCTTAACTTATGTATGCGGATGTGAAGCTGTGAGGTTGAACGATGCACGTATTAGCCATTTTGTTCCGCTCCATATACTTATATACACGATTGATACGTGTATTAGTTTTAAGCATGTACTTCCTATTTATGACATTGCAACCTACTGTTTCATTGGTATTTTGCCTAAATTTTGGTTGTATTTATGTAATGTGGATTGACATTGTAATGCATCATGATGTATGGAAGTACTTATTTTGAATAGAAATATATGGACTGCCTATTTGTTTGTTTTACCTTCTTTTTTTATTTAACAACGGTGTGCCTAAAGCTGAAAGAATATGTTTTGTTCAAGGTTGTAAACTTGTGCATATTGAATATAAATGTGTAACGAAATTTCTGACATAAAAATTGAAATATGGATTTATTACAATGAGCCATGTTATTTGACTTATAAATAACATACTCGCTTTTCACTTACAAATAATATAATGGCATCTTCAAGTTTTGTCCCTGTTCACTAGGCATTAGTAATGTTTTTTATCCAAATAGATTTACCAGTAATATATAGATACTCAAAAAACTTATGCCACTTCATCATATAGACTTCACAGTAGAAATACATGAATTGCCCGTTAATTTCCTTCATGACAAGTGGTTCACTCATGTCCAACTAATATAAATACCCATTCTTCTTATTTCATTACAATAACAACAAGCATTACAATTACAAGTATCAACATCAAAAGTAATAAATCATAAATTTTTTCAATTTTATTTTTAATTTTATCATCTTTGTTGCTCTGACGATGCACTCCAACTTTCTCGCTAAATTGATCGTCTTGTCTTATGCAGTCTACGTCTTCATTTATTTGATTAGCCCAACCAACGAACCCATCTCTATCACAAGCGTAATACAATTTCTAATAATTCGAACTTCGGGAGCCAACAATCTTAACGCGAAGCTTGAATCCACATTGATGACATATTTTTTCCTCATACTTGAGTGCACTTGGCCTTCCAAAATTTGGAGTGGTTGATGTTTGAGACATTTTGAACCTAAAAAGAAAATAAATTAAAATATATATGGGGAAAAACATTCTTACACTGCATATTTATTAATGAAAAGCTATTATAGACTATTCACATTAACTTCTCATCAGAACACCATATGCAAAAATCACGTCATGGAAGTATAGTCTATTACGTAATAGTACATGGAAAGATTAGTCCACAATATACAGAAATCGTGCCATGTAATGCTCCTATTAACTGGAAGCATATGTGATTGGCATATATTTTCAGACCACAATCTACAGACTCATTCGACGAAAAGGCAGATATAAAGATTAAACAGAAAAATATTCAATTTCAACAGAAATGACCAGGAACTGACGAGCAACAGCAAGACATACATACATGGCATCTTTATTAACACATACTGATCTGACAATAAGACGCAATTAAAGAATAAACACTACCAACTATTGCAGTTACAACTACATATGGACTCGGAGAGATATCGAGTGGAAACATAAAC